ATTTGCGGATGTTCGAAGCTGCGGGGTCAAAGGTCAAAGGTATCAAGAGGTGTAAAAGAAGGCTGGGGGAACATTCACTCCTTTTAACTTAAAGGTATAGGGAGGGAAATGCAGAATTGCCGGCACAATATCTAAACGGCTCGACTAGGCTCGTGCATAGTCGGTGTATAGCATCATGGTACGGAAAGCCAGCACTTGGTGCCGAAATTGGAGGATAATAGCAGCGTCGAAAGTCAGTGGGCACAAGGGCACAGGATTTTAGACATTTTCTGAGGACATGGTCTGACGGAGCGATTGAAAAACTAGTTTTTGTTTCAGACGGTGACACTACGACATTTTTATGGACTTTATTTGAAAACAGGACCATGTGAAATGTCCTTCTGCTGACATGCGAAAGGTAAGTGTCGGATAACTTTTGACCTTAAGGGAGGGTTAAACTTTGATTTGTTGACTTGTCTGTTAGAAAGAATTTGCACTGTCCGGTGTTTGCTAGTAAGAATCTATACATGCCTGGATTGTATGAGGCTACAATGTCAGCAGTGCAAATTCTCGAAAGTGCAAATTTGCGTTTAAAGAAGGCTGTAATCCGTTAAATCGTATAATTTCTATGCTCATTCTGTTACTTCAGTTGATGTTACATGTAACGTATGCCACTGCCATGGCTGCTGCTCAGTGCATGTGTTGGCTGCAGTTTTTGCCTGACGTTAATATGGTTTACAGGTTGGCAGCTTCTCTATTGCTAATTTGCACCTGTAGGCTTGCCGTAGGTACAATGTGATGACATGGCTACCTATCTGTATCTTGCGCAAATAGTTGTTGTGTAACTGACGTTATGAATGGGAGCTTCTTCCATCTATCTAATCTGAAGACACTTTAAACGATACGCGCCATCTCGTGGCAACTTTCTAACGATCCCAACGAACATGTCTTTTGAGAAGGTTTCCTCTGATACCATCCTGTGCATTCCACTGTTTCGGCGTGTAATGTGAACAATTGAGACTACACAGGTTTACACAGAAGCACCACCACTGTCCACCCACGATGAGTCACCGCAGTAGACGTTAGATGAGCGCATGTCACTCTGCGCGACTTGTTGATGGAACCTCTATTTAAAATAATCGTAATATTATTTTGCACGTGTCAAACAATATTTCCTCACCTACCTTTTAAATCTCCATCACTCTGTCTATACCATATCGTCCACATATCTCAGCACGTTCATAACATCTGTTTCATTGAGCATGGAGCTGCTCCTTGACGTATTATGTGGCGCCTTACATTGTATAATCTAAATGGCTGTTGTATTGCAGGCGTTGCGTTATCAGATTGCAGCTAAACTACACCAGAGGCCCACGGCATCTGTGCTGGCTCTAATGCCGCACCTTCGCCGCCGAGCGTAATTATACCCCTATGAAGACTGGATATATATATAGAATATCATATATATACAACAAGCATGCGATACGATCTGGCCCTAGAATATAGCAGATGGCATCTCTGAGTATACTCGATCTGCGTCAAATCGCCAACGCGACGCTCGTTTGTGTGCCGTACTCTTGCACGACAGTTGAGGGTGATGGTATACAAATGGCACCCAAGCTTCCAACGTCGAAGGCAGACGACACAATCAGAGTGCCTATCACCACGGCAACCGCGCAGGACCGTTGTTTAGCTACGTGTTCGCGAAGAAAGAGTCCGTCATCTCGGACTTACAGGGCCCATCCTGATGATTTCTTGAGGACGATTCCAGCCGTCTTGTCTTCAAAGCTGCTGTCTGCCTGCCTACATGCCTGTCTGCCTGCCTGCGTGCCTGTCTGCCTGCCTACATGCCTGTCTGCCTGCCTGCGTGCGTGTCTGCTTGCCTACATGCCTGTCTGCCTGCGAGCGTGCGTGTCTGCCTGCCTGCGTGCCTGTCTGCCTGCCTACGTGCGTGTCTGCCTGTCTACATGCCTGTCTACGTGCCATCGTCGATGGTAATGTGCATTGTAATAATGAATCATTATTACCCTTCTCGATCAATCGATCGCTCGCAGAACTTCTTCTTCGATCATTATTTTCCGGTGTTCATTTTTTTCTATCGCACGTTCAGGTTTTCGGCATTGACAACCTGAGTGGAGAGGTGATATGGCAGAAGCTGATACCGGGCATAGTGCCGTTCCAGCAGCTGGGGAAGGAGACGCTGCCGCTGTTCGTGCTGCGGACGACCGCGCATTTCCCGCACCCGCCCGAGTACGCCGTGCTCGGAAAACACAAGGTACCGAGCGAGAGTCGGCAACAGCTCCCTCGCGCTCGCGCGCCCGTCGGTGGGCGTGCAGCGTGGCGGATTAAACCGCGCCCAAAGGGAGATTTAGCACAAGATCACTGTGTGTGTGTGAGTGTGTGTGTGCGCGCGTGTGTGCGCATGTGTGTGTGCGTGTGTGTGTGCGTGTGCACGTGTGTGTGTGTGTGTGCGTGCGTGCGTGCGTGCGTGCGTGTGTGTGTGCACGCACGCGCGTGTGTTTGTGTGTGTGCGTGCGCGTGCGTGTGCGCTCATCGGGGGTGAAGTTCTGGTGGTTAATTTTTCAGGAAGTGAATTTCCAAGGTGTGAATGTTGGACGGTTAATTGTCTGGGAGGTGAATGTCGGAGGAATAATTGTTCGTGTGTGTGTGTGTGTGTGTGCGCGCGCGCGCGCGCGCGTGGGGGGGATAATATTCCTGGCGGTGATTGTCCAGGGGTTAATTGTCCGGGTTGAGAATTTGTGGGGTGAATCTCCGGGGGTTGATTGTCCCGGTCTCGTACTCATCCTGATACGTTGTCTTGCTTTATTCAGGCCACGGGTAACGGGCTCCTCGACGTGTTCAATCCCATCACCGGCCGCTGCATGACTCGCGAAGTCATCCAGCTCAACTACAGGGTGCAGCACGTGTCTCAGCTCGCCCAGCACGACGCCGACTTCGTGAGACCCGTGATATTCGTGGACACGAACAAGCTGGTGAGTGAAGCGTGGTGCGGGGGCCGTCGTGCCGCATCCCTGGTGAGTGAACACATTTGGGACTAACAGGGTTTACTAGAATCCCACCACTCCACCACAGAGTCACCGCAGTAGACGTTAGATGAGCGCTGTCACTCTGCGGCACTTGTTGATGGAACCATCTATTTAAAATATCGATAATATTATTTGCACGTGTCAAACATATTCCTCACCTACCTTTTAAATCTCATCACTGTCTGATACCATTCGTCCACATAACTCACCACGTTCATACATCTGTTTATTGAGCTGTGTAGCTGCTCTTATGCGTATTATGTGGCGCCTACATTTGTATAATTAATGCTGTTGTATTTGCAGACGTTGGTTATCAGTGCAGCAACTACACCAGAGGCCACGGCATTGCTGGCTCTAAGCCGACCTTCCGCTGAGGTAATTATACCCCTATGAAACTGGATATATATATATATATACAACAAGCATGGCGTACCGATTGCCTATGTATAGCAGATGGCATCTTGATATACCGATCTCGTCAAATCGCCAGCGACCATCGTTTGTGTGCCGTACTCTTGCAGACAGTGAGGGTGATGGTATACAACATGGACGCCAGCTTCCACGTCGAAGCAGACGACACAATCAGAGTGCCTAGTCACCACGGCAACCCGGAGACGTTGTTTAGCTACGTGTTCGGAAAGAAGGAGTCGTCATTCGGATACAGGGCTCTGATGATTTCTGAGGACGATTCAGCCGTCTTGCTCTCTCAAGCTGGTAGGATGAATAAAATACATATTGCTGTTCGATGCGTGTTTGTCTAGTTTGGTTTTTGCTAGCTCTTTATCTGATGCTTCCCATACATAGATCATAATCATTGTGAAGGTTACGTGTAACATGGTTCGTGTCCATGTTTTTGCTGAATATTTTCGAATAAGTTTGACATGGTTTCATTGCTATCGGAATAACAAAGATGATGATGGTGGTGATGATGGTGATGGTGGTGATGATGGTGGTGATGATGGTGATGATGACCTCTCCTCTTTATGTACGTACTGTATGATTTTTTAGGCGATATCACGTGGGTGAAGGAAGAGGCACTGGCTAGCATTGTGTCTGTTGAAATGGCTGATCTTCCAGTGTCTGAAATCCAAGCCAAGTTTGAGGAGGAATTTGGTGCTGAGCATGGTAAGATCTCAAAAGAGCGAGCAAACATGCACGCACGCACGCACGCACGCACATACATACGCCTACCTACCCAAATACTCCTGCCCACCTACCTACCTACCTAACTAATCAACAAACAAGCCATTTACCTATCTACCTACTCACCTACCTACCTACCTACTCACCTACCTAGCTACTCACCTACCTACCTACTCACCTACCTACCTACTCACCTACCTAGCTACTCACCTACCTACCTACTCACCTACCTAGCTTCTTACCTACCTACCTACTCACCTACCTAGCTTCTTACCTACCTAGCTGCGTGCCTGCCTGCCTGCCTGCCTGCCTGCCTGCCTGCCTGCCTGCCTCTCTCTCTCTCTCTCTACCTGCCTACCTACCTACTCACCTACCTAGCTACTCACCTACCTACCTACTCACCTACCTACCTACTCACCTACCTAGCTTCTTACCTACCTAGCTGCGTGCCTGCCTGCCTGCCTGCCTG